CATGCCTCTGTGTATGAGAAATCGTGTCTCATAACTTGATTTAATTTTTTTGATGAAGTAATGAAGAAGATTGATGAAGGCAGAGTGGTGAACGTGATCTATATAGACTTTGACAAGGTTCCGCATAGTAGACTGATTAGCAAGGGTAGATCTCATGGACTACAGGGACATGGATGCAGAACTGGCTCGAAGGTAGGAGACAGAGGGTTGCTTTTCATACTGGAGGCCTGTGACCAGTGGTGTGCCACAAGCATTGGTGCTGGGTCCACTGCTTTTCATCATTATATCAATGATGTGGATGTGAACATAGGAGGTATGGTTAGTAAGTTTGCAGATGACACCAAAATTAGGGGTGTAGTGGACAGCAAAGAAATTTACCTCAGAGTGCAACAGGACCTCGATCAGATAGGCCAATGGGCTGAAGAGTTGCAGATGGTGTTTAATTTAGATAAATGTGATGTGCCGCATTTTGGAAAGGCAAACCAGGGTAGGACTTACACACTTAATGGTAAGGTCCTGAGGAGTGTCGCTGAACAAAGACATCTTGGAGTGTAGGTTCATAGTTCCTTGGAAGTGTTTAGTATGCTTGCCTTTATTGGTTTGTGACTTGAGTGTAGGATTTGGGAGGTTATGTTGCAGCTCTACAGGACATTGGTTAGGCCACTTTTGGAATACTGTGTTCAATTCTGATCTCCCTGCTATAGGAAGGATGTTGTGAAACTTGAAAGGGTTCAGAAAAGATTTACAAGGATGTTGCCGGGGTTGGAGGGTTTGAGCTGTTCAGAGGGGCTGAATAGACTGGGGCTATTCTGCCTGGTGTGTCGCAGGCTGAGGGGTGACCTTATCGACATTTACAAAATCATAAGGGGCATGGAAAAGGTGAATAGCAAAGGTCTTTTCCCCAGCGTGGGTGAGTCCATAACTTGAGGACATAGTTTTAAGGTGAGAGGGAAAAGATATAAAAAGGACTGAAGGGGCAACATTTTCCACACCGAGGATGCTGCATGTATGGAATGAGCTGCCAGGGGAAGTGTTGGAGGCTGGTACAATTACAACTTTTAAAAGGCATCTGCATGGGTATATGAATAGGAAGGGTTTAGAGGGATATGGGCCAAATGCTAGCAAATGGGACTAGATTAATTTAGGATATCTAGTCAGCACGGATGAGTTGGACCGAAAGGTCTGTCTACAGCTCTATGATTCATCAACCTTCAAACTCAGGCAACCTTCCTGGATTTCCAACAGTCTCAGTTTCTCTGAGGTACACCACGGGAGAATCGCGCCAACATAAAAACCACACAATGATTGATCAGGCTGAAATTAGGATTCGGCGGTGAAGATATTCATGAGTTGGAAGGCCATATTCCACTATTCCCTGTGTCGTGTCTTGAAGTTCCATCATTATGACACATCCAGTATCACCCGAATTGATAGAGAGTAAACTGTTCGCTTTTCTAGAATTAGAATTGGATTTTATTGTCATGTGTACTCAAGTAAGAAGTACAGGAGTACAGTGAAAAGTGTACAATGTTGCCATTCCTGGTACCATCTTAGGTTCAGAGCTACCTAGGTACAAAATCTTAGATACAAAGTAGAAGAATAAAGAAACAAAGTTAAAAGTTAAACATTACAGTCCTTCTTAGTATAAAGTAGAAAAATAAAGAAATTAAGTTAGAAGTTCAGCAGTCTTTCTTAAGTGCTTAGCCATGCTGACTTTGCACTGTCTGCAAAGGCTCGATCTCCTCTGCTTTGGCCTGCTCTCCAGGAGACCTAGGGCTGCCTGCTCTTGTTGTTGCCACAGATGCCAGGAGACCTGGAGCTGCCTGCTCTCGCTGCCACCACAGATGCCAGGAGACCTGGAGCTGCCCGCTATCGATGCTGACACAGATGCTGGGTGATCTCTCTCACCAGCACGTTGGGCTTGCTCTCCCTGTGATGGCACAATCTCCCATGCGCTGAGCTTGCCCTCCTCTGAGTTGCATAAGCTCACTCTCCACAGAAGGTAGGTAGATTAAAGTAAGAAAAGAAAACAGTGAAAGAAGAAAAAATGTAAAAGCGAACAGAGCAGATGAGCTCGGACAGAAGCCCTCACGCTGCACTGCTACTCTGCCGCCATGTTATACTCTATGTTATATACACATAAAGCTACGTCTATGTTATAGACCTTTAAATGTCACAACTTAAATTTCACCAACAAATGCCACCTTCTGCACAAGACAATGACTCATTATCCAGCATTGTTTAAGTTAGATTCTTGAAAACCAAGGGGTAAAATGTAATGGGTGGTAAAGAAGGATGTGGAGTAAATGGATCACCTGTGGTCTTAACTGAATGTTGAAACAGGCTTGAGAGGCTAAGGGGTCGACTCCTGCTTCTAATTCCTGTGTTTGAATGTATGTTCAAGTGTTGTGGAGGGATTTCCCTTTAACTGCATTCTCCAAAATGGCTCTGGATATAGTACACAGGCTTTTATTTCAGGATAACATACTGAAACCCTGTAAATCACAGTTGAAGGAAATGTAAAGCTGTAATAAGAGAGTTTGCATATCACAGACATTTCAATAAGAATAGTTTACATCACAAACAAATGGTTAAATATTATGATGCTGTGTATTAGCTTTTTCTAACTTAAAATGTATGATTTGAAGTATCTTAATGTATTCCATAATTTCTGAAGTCAATACGTGTTAATATTCAAAAGTCTGCAAGTGCTGGGAATTTGCCCATTAGGTGTCCAGCCTTTTTTGAATTTAATTAGCTGCAATAGGATTAAACGTCTGCATAGAACAGGTGGCCGATCCAATAGAACCTGATTTGCTTCTCCACCCAAGACATATTTCTACCTACTAAATTTTGCAATATGTCCTTATTATAAATCATTCATCAATATCTTGCACAAATATAATCAGAAACTACTGTGATTGCACATTTAAAGCCAATAAATGCCCAGAGTTGGGATAAAACAATTGAACTACAAATACTGCATTGACATTTTAAATACTTTTGTTAAATTGTTCTGCTTTGCTGGAAAAGTGGTGATCTTGTCATACCAATCTAGGATAGGTGGCTGTGCCACCTTCTGGTACATCCTGGAACTATAACCAACTTCAAAATGATGTTATCTCCCCAAATCATTCTCATTCTTTTCTATCATACAGAATTCTTACCTTATATCACTAAATGCAAAAAATTGATTCCAGCAGAAAATGTTTCTTGTTTATGCAAACAATTTTCAAATACAGTCAATCAAAAGGCAAATAAAATAGCTGTTGTAGGACTGCAGTGTTCTAAGAAAAGTCACAAAAGAGAAATGGACACAAATCAATTGAAGCATTAAGAGAGAGGACTGTAGGTTTGGTTCTGAAAGTTTTTGAAGGAGCATTTAAAGCTAGAGTCCAAAGAAGACAAAGTGAAAGAGTTAAAGGAGAACATTTGTGAGTAAGATTGAGATGGCAGAAGACTTTGTCACTGACAGTGCAGCAGTGGAGACAGAATGCACAAGAGAACAGAAATGAGGGAATGATGTAAATTCTCTCAGAAAGAGAGAGCTGGAAAAGGTCACAGACATAGATGTGAAGTAGTCATGGAGGAATTTCTGAAAGATGACAGTTTGAACAGGGAGAAATCGTAGCCCAACAAACCCAAGGACTCAGGTGTGATAGGACAGGATGTGCACAGCAGAGTTCTGAATAACTTGAGAGTTGTTGGGGATAGGCAGGGAAGTGGAGTTAGGGCACCAACAGGGTTTTGTTAGGGTTTTGTTCAATTATTCAGCTGGCTCAAGGAGCCAAAATTGTTACCTCCTGCTTCTGTTTTTAATGGGAGTTTTAACAGGATGCAGTTGCAATCTCAACAAAGAGCACTGAATGTGGAAGTAGAATTATGAATAAAAGTTTCTGAGACATTAGAGAGGGATGTAAGCGATGGATCAGGTGATTTGTGGAGATGCAGGGAATAGGTGATAAAGTGAGGTTAAAGTTCAGCTCAGGACAAGATATGACTCAAAGGGTTCAGTACCGCCTGACTGAGTAACTAGGGGATGAGTGTGCAAAGCTTTGATATGTGCTGAAATATGGCTGGCCTCTCAGTAGGTTACTGCAGGATCCACATTTATTGTTGTTGGTAGATAAGCTGTGCGTGTTCCTCAGAGTTAAGCTGTTCATTTTTTTTGGAAATGGATTCATTGCTGTATGGTATATATATGGATAAAACTTCCTGAAATTCAAGTCAAATACATGATATAAATTTCACAGTGAAAAATCTCCCCTTGGAACCGATTAGCCCAGATTGTTAGGCTGTCCTTGAACTACTGTTGAATTTCACTTTATATAAACAAGAAAATGAATACCGCATTATTCCAGCACTTTCAAATTCTCTGGAATTTTAACCATTGTTATATTATAATACTCCAGTGGCAAAAAATCCTCAGCACTGCTACTATACCGACAGCAAGGTTTGTTTTTATAGGCTACACCCTAGTGTAACTTATACTAAACAAAAACACTATCGCACAAAATATTTCACTTTCAATGTAAACATTTTTAGTCTAATTTGTATATTTTTCAAAGATGTATTTCTTGAACACAAACTCCCAACATAATATGGAACTAGTTGTATTTATAGACCACCACTCTCAACCTCTGGACATCGCAGATTGTTTAACGGCTAATGTACTTGTGAATTGTAGTCATTGTTGTAATGTAGGGAAATGTGGTAACCAACTTATGCACTGTTCCCACAAGAGCATCAAGATAAAATAGCAGATCATCTGTTTCAGTTAATGGTGTTAATTTTATCATTTGACTATTTCATATCTGTAGTTGACAGCAATTATATCATTTAATGCAACACACAATAAGTCACTCACATATCTCCAGTTCCTATCGTTTGCTTCCTGGTGGCAGTGCAGTCATTAATTTTAATCCTGCAGGAATTTTCCATTGGGCATTTGAAGATTGCCAGTAACTCCTAACGTAAGTGTGAATCTTTCACATTCTCAGGAATTCTTTGGGTTTCCGAAAGGAAATGTTCATCTGATTGGATACAGTCTTGGAGCTCACGTTTCAGGATTTGCTGGAAATTATGTCACTGGGCCAAACAAAATTGGAAGAATAACAGGTAATATTGAAAATATGGTACAAGGAACATGATAAACTTGGAGATACTATCCAAGATTTCTGTAAAATTCTCCTGGAGGAGAGCACATTCTTAATAATGGCTTAAAGAAAAAAATCAAAGTTCACCAGCAAAATTATTTGTATAGTTCTAATTTCCATCGTTCAGCATTATTGAGAATCAGCTTGCTATTTTTAAACAATCCCTAATTCAAGGCAAAATGGCCAGAACAATTCAGATAATTGACAGCAATTTAAGTGTGTTCTCTCAGTAAACTTAATGAATAGAGGGCAGCTTATATGATGACATCTGATTTTCATGAAGTTGTTTCATTCTGAATTAAACACAATGAGATATGCCTACCGGTTAAACTTGCATCATGTTCTCTTTAAAAGGGTTTATACTTAGTGTATGAAATGGCTCAAGGCAAAGATTTCAATAGAACATTTTAAAATAACCATGAAACTGATCCACACAGGGACAGATCGTCAAAAGCTTGGTTAAAGAAGTAGGTTTTATAGGAATGTCTTAAAAGAGGTAGAGAGACTAGGAGGTGTTTTAGAGGGTATTCCAGAAATTGGAGCCAAGGCAACTGAAGGCATGGCCACCAATGATGGCATAATTATAATTGGAAATGCGCAGGAAGTCAGAATGAGAGTGAAGATTTCTTGGAGTGTTATAGGGCTGGGAGAGATTACAGACAGTGGGAGGCAGAGAGGCCAAGGAAGGACTGTGAATAGGAAGAGAAAGTTTGTGTCCTTAGCAACAATGGTAATGTATAAATAGAATGGGCCATTCAACTCCTTGAGCCTTTTCTGCCTTTTACTCATGGCAGATCTGTAACCCAATTCAATTTCCTGGCCAAGTGCCACATCCCTTTGTACACTTAACTGACAAAGATTAATTGACCTCATATTGAAAGCTCCAATATTCCTAGCATCCATATCCTTTTGGGGAAGACAATTTCAAATTTCTACTAAACTTTCCTGATTCCCTCCTAAATGGCCTTTGCTCAAATTTTATCCAACCTCAGAGGAAATACTTTCTCTGTATCTCCCCAGTTGACTTATTTTAACATTTTAAAGATCTTAATCAGACCATTCTCCAATTTTCTACAGTTTGAGAGTACAAATGAACTTTCCACCTCACAGTCTTGAGAAAAGGATGACGAGGAAACAAGCCTTCTGATGAGATGAAAAAATCCACTGGGCTGACAGTAAGCATTGTATCAAATTCATAAAATAACCATAAATTGACAAAGCTAGTGTACTGCCAACTAAACCTGCCTTGAGGAGCTCCCACTAATAGAATAGAGTAAATAACCAAGTTTCTCCCTAATCCTGACTTGACAGTGGTGGAAGGGGAATTGTACCATCCAGTTAATATGTGCTACAATGGAGAATGACCTAATATAAAAAAGATAGAAAAATTGCCTTTGTTGGGAATCTGAAATGAGAGCAGAAAATGCTGGAAATGCTGAGCTGGTCAGTTAGGACATCTAAAGAAAAAAGACAGGTTATGATGCTTAAGGTGTGTACAGTTCATCAGACTCAAAAATAATCTTATGCAAGGGCTAAGCAAGAAAAATGTTTTTTAAATCTAGTTTACATTCTTAGCTAATTGCCAAAGGCAGGTTACCACAGGAACAATGTCCCATGTGGTCTAGTCAACACTCAAAATAGACAAATCCCCAAATGTCTCTGCAGAATCATAGAACATAGGAGGAGTCAATTCAGCCCATTGTGCTTGTGTCAACTCTGAAAGAACACTTGAAATACTCTCCCTCGCTTTCTTTTATCTCCATTGTGCTACAATTCCTTTTCTTTCAAGTGTCTATCCTTTAGAAAGAAATGGTAGTGTAATGGTAATTTCACAGGTCTAGCACTGTAGAAACACCATTTATTGCTCTGGAGGTACAAGTTCAAATCTCACAACGGTTGTGGGTGGATTTTAAATTTCAATTTTCTTGAAGAGAATGCTATTCTCAGTAATGACCATAAAAGTATTACAGGAACAAAAACAGAAGTTGCTGGAAAAGCTCAGCAGGTCGGGCAGCATCTGTAGAGAAAAAATCAGAGTCAACATTTCGGGTCCTGTTCTGAGGAAGGGTCACCGGACCTGAAATGTTAACTCTGATTCTTTTCTTCACAGATGCTGCCAGACCTGCTGAGCTTTACCAGCAACGTCTGTTGTTGTTCCTGACTTACAACATCAGTACTTTCAGTTTTTATGAAACTATGACAGATTGTTTTACAACATATAACTAATGTCCTTTAGGAAAGGGTATCTTGCTTGGTTTAGCTTACTTGTGACCAGGTCCATTCTTACATGGACTGCAGTTGATCCTTGACTGGCCGCTGTAATGACTTAACCACTCAGCTCATGGGCACTTAGGGATGAGTAGCATGTTCAGGCTTTACCAGCAATACCCACATCCTATAAAGAAATTAGCTTTACCTTTGAATCCTATGACATTTTCTTCTTGCCTATATCAAAAACGTCAAGCTGTATCAATGCAGTCAAAAACAGGCAGTAGTAAATAGTAAAAACATATATCAGAACCAGACTCCACTTCTGCACTGCTGGTGTGTAAGCTCCTATTTAAGGCTTCATCATTACTGAATACTATTAGATAATACTGAACCATATGTGCTGCATATTACAACAGTCATGAAGCACTGCATGTTGCATCTGAAGTCAATTGCATTGAAAATAAATGTTTCCTTAGCAACTGCACAGTGATCAATGAAGAGGAACCTTAAACTAATTAAAATTCATAGTCATGGCAACAATGGCAGAAGCAATCATTCTGTTTGCTACTAGCATCATCTGATATGACTGTGTTATCAAGTACTTCTCAGACCTGTTCTAAGCTTCATTAAATGTTTCTTCTCCATCATAGCCATAAACAGAAAATACTCAGGGAGACATTTGGCTATTTTCTGTATCCACATAATACACGCAAATTCAGAATGCACCCCTCTTTCCATTGTACACTTATATTTCCACTGCTAAATTGAAATTGTTCACAAACTATGCACTTCCTTGTAAATGGCAGTATTTTAGGGTTTTATATTTCTGTAAAGCGTAAATCCACTTTTCCTCTCTAAATCCTTGCTGTTTCACAGTCTCACATGAAAAGCTAATACCTTAAAGCTTTACAGGTTCAAGGTAAAACATAAAAATGAGACATTGCAGCCACCCAGTCATAATCTGAAACAAAATGGTTTACAAATACTTTCAACTATCTGTTCCTTTGGCTATTCTTATTCCCTTTTTTGAATGAACATACGGTACCCATATGAAGTTTGATCAAAATTGAGATTCAATCTTGGATCGGTAATACTCTATATTTCTGGGTACCAGACTGCTGGGAAGTTTTCAGTATTCTTCTGCCTTAAGATGCCAAGTATACCAATCTGTTCAAGAAATTTAAATTTATTTTTACAATGATGCTGGGATTTCTGATTCTTTACTGTAGCAGCACCCTATTACTATGCTATTCAATTTATAATCATACATTGACTATGTATAGCATATTTTATTCCTATATGGATCAGGTAAGGCCCTGAGTTGATCTTAAACAGGTATCTAAATATACCTCACGTTTCTTTCCTGTTTTAAATCTATTTTTCACTTTTTCCTGTCTGCTGACCTCCATGTTAACTGGAAATGATACAGCAGTGAAATACTAAGGACTGCAACTCTAGTGTTAGTGTCCATTAGTTGTATATTATTAGTCATGTGAATAATAGCAGTCTCTTCCTCTAGGTTTAGCATATTTGATTCCTCTTCCAAACAGTAGATAAACAAGTTGTTCCTGTGTCTTTCCTGCTCTACAATAAGGAATTATATAAGGCAGGAGATTGTCAATATTATTTCAGTGTTGCTACCTTGTGGAAACTCATATCAATGTTTCAGAGTGTTGTAAAATAAGATACATTATAGCAGAAATCCCTGAAGTAAGATACATTTCAAACTATCTGACTACATTGCTTTGAGGTTTCTTCATTATAAACAAAATATTTCGCGTTATACAATGTTCTTAGAAGTAGTGTGAGATCTGTGTCTGAAAAGCAATTGCAAACTGATTAATGTCTCAAAATATTTCATTTGTGGTGTGGAAACAGAATCCTTACAGTGCACATAGAGGCCATTCAGCCCATTGAGTTTGCACCAACCCTCTAAAGAACATCCTACCCTATCCCTATAATCCAAACTTCCCTATGTCCAACCCACCTAGCCTGCACATTCCTAGATACTACAGGACAATTCAACTTGGCCAATCCACCTATGTTGCACATCTTTAGATTGTGAAAGGAAACTGGAGCACCACGTGGATGACGTGCAAACACCCCACAGATAGTCAGCCAAGGTTGGAATTGAACCTGGGTACCTGGCACTGTGAGACCGTGCTACTGATCACTGTGCCACCATGGTGTCCTTAAGTCTGTAGTCAAACATAATGCTAAAAATTGTGATGCAGATAATTAATTACCTGCTTATAGAACTTCTGTACAAGGATGCAGGATCAAAAGAATTAAACAGAAATCTAGTCTCACACTTCTGTATAGTATTGAAGGACTCTGCACTGTTGCATGTGCTGCATTAATACCACAAGTAGGGTTTGCATACCTTTGACATAAGGGAATGGAAACCAGACTTATCCGAACTACTGAATATTTATTGGCTACTTAGATGATTTACAGACAAAGACTTTTACAGGAAAAGAAATTGTTGGCTAAACTCAGTAGGCCTGGCAGCATCTGTGGGAAGAAAGCAGAGTTAACATTTTGAGACCAATGACTCTGCATCAGTTCCATCAGTCCATCTTCCTTCCGGTTTCACATGTGGACATAAATATTATTTGGAACTACACAAAGAAAAGGGCTAATATGCCAGGATTTGCTAATACTTATTTCAGAACAGAAGTTGATGATATGGTAATTTATTTGATCACTGTTTGTCAGTTAAGTCTGTGCATAAATTGCTGCATGTTGTCTCCATTACAACAGTGATCATAATACAAGAAAAAGACTTAATTGGCTAAAGAGCATTTCAACCATCATGAAATGATAAAATGTGTTAATTAAACAAGTTTCTTTTAAAAATAATGCATTGTGTTCATTGTTTATTGTTCAGGTCTCGACCCAGCTGGACCACTGTTTGAAGGCATGTCAGCAACGGATCGATTATCTCCTGATGATGCAAATTTTGTTGACGCACTTCACACATTTACAAAAGAACATATGGGATTGAGTGTGGGAATCAAACAGCCTGTAGCCCATTACGATTTCTATCCAAATGGTGGCACCTTTCAACCAGGCTGCCACCTCAAACACGTTTACAACCATATTGCTCGACATGGAATTCAAGGTATGTTTTGACCTTTGGATGGAATATTTATAAATATTTCAGTATTATGAGAAAAATACATTAACACTAAAAACCATATTGATAATGATATGCTTACTGATTCAATTGATGATGATAAAGTCTTGTGACAAAGAACAGGAAGTAAGGATTTAAGCAGTGGATAGTTATTCAGTACAACAAGAAGAACTCATACAGTTGTGTATATCATTGTACAAAGACATTTCTTCATCTTAGAATAATTTTCAAAAGGCCATAAGACCATGAGGTTTAGGAGCAGAATTAGGCCATTCAGCCCATTGAGTCTGCTTCAGTATTCAATCATGGGTGATATGTTTCTGAACCCCATTCTCCTGCCTTCTCCCTGTAACTCTTGATCCACTTCCGGATCAGGAACCCATCTATCTCTGTCTTCAATGCACTCAATGACTTGGCCTCCACAGTGTTCTGTGGCAATGAATCCCACAGATTCACCACCCTCTGTCTGAAGAAATTCTTCCATATCTGAGTTCTAAAGGGTCGTCGTCTCTTCACTCTGAGGCTGTGCCCTCGGTTCCTGGTCTCTCCTGGTAGTTTTGTTGATTGATTAATTATTGTCACATGCACCAAGACACAGTGAAAAGTGTTGTTTTGCATGCAGTTCAGGCAGATCATACCATACAAAGTGCATCAGGTTGCAGAATTGAGTGCAGAATATAGTGTTACAGCTGCAGAGAAGGTGCAGAGAGATCTCAACATTAACATTTGAGAGCTCTGCTCAAAAGTCTGAAACAGCAAAGAAGAAGCAATTCTTGAATATTTGTATGTGAGTTCAAACTTTTATATCTTCTGCCTGACAGAAGAAGTTGGAAGACAGTATAAGCGGGGTGGGAAGGGTCTTTGATTATGATAGTTGCTTTCCCAAAGCAAAGGGAAGTATAGATGGAGTTAGTGGACAGGAGGTTCGTTTGTGTGATGACCTGGGCTGTGTTCACAGCTTTAGTTTCTTCCAGTCTTGGGAAGAGCATTGCTGTACCATGCCATGATCCATCCAGGTAGAATGCTTTCAGTGGTGCATTTATAAAATTTGGTAAGAATGCCAAATGCCTTATCCTCCTGAGGAAATAGAGACCTTTTTGTGTTTTCTTGACCGTCACGACAACATGGGTGGACCAGGACAGTTTTTTTTGTGATCATCACTCTCAGGAACTTGATGCTCCATTTCAGCACCATTGATGCAGACAGGGGCATTCCCTCCACTCCACCTCTTGAAGTCAATGACCAGCTCCTTTGTTTTGCAGACATTGATGGAGAGATTGTTGTCTTTACACCTGCCGCTAAGCACACAATCTCTTTCCTGTATTCTGTCTCATCATTGTTTCAGATCTGATCTACAACAGTGGCATCATCAGCAAATTTCTAAATGGAGTTGGGGGTGGTATTTGGCCACACAACCGTTGGTGTTTAAGGATTATAGTAAGTGTGGAGCACCAGTGTTGAGGATTATTGTTGAAGAGGTGTTGTCACCCATCGTTACTGATTGCGGTCTGTGGGTCAGGAAGTCAGGGATCCAGTTACAGAGTGGGCAACTGAGACCTTAGAAGACGAGTTATATGGTGTTGAAGGTGGAACTATAGTTAATATATACATATTTCTCAAAAAAAAAGGGGGTGGCTCAGTGTCTTGGTGGTTAGCACTGCTGCCTCACAGCGCCAGGGACCTGAGATCGATTCCACCCTTGGGCGACTGTCTGTGTGGAGTTTGCACATTCTCCCCGTGTCTGCGTAGGTTTCCTCTGGGTGGTCCGGTTTCCTCCTACAGTCCAAAGATGTGCAGGTTAGGTGGATTGGCCGTGCTAAATTGCCCGTAGTGCCCAGGGATGTTTAGGTTACGTGGGTTAGACATGGGAAATGCAGGGGTAGGGGAATGAGTTGGGGTGGGATGCTCTTCAGAGGGGCAGCGTGGACTTGATGGGCCGAATGGCCTGTTTCCACACTGCAGGGATTCTGTGATTTAATAAGTAGAAGCCTGACATAGGTGTGCTTGTTATCCAGATGATTCAGAGTGTAGGGCCAGGGAGATAGCGTCTACCGTGGACCTGTTGCACCAGTAGGCGAACTGTAAGGGATCAAGGCAATCTAGAGGCTGGAGTTGATGTGAGGCATGACTAACCTCTCAAAGCACTTCATAATAATGGAGGTCAGAGCCACTGGGCAGTAGTCATTGAGGCACGATGCATGACTTTTCTTTGGCACCAGAATGATTGTGGTCTTCTTGAAGCATCTGGGGACTTCAGATCATAGTAAGGAGAGGTTAAAGGTTTCTGTGTATATTCCTGTCAGCTTGTCTGCGCGATATCTGAGTGCATGGCCGAGGACTCCATCCGGGACAGTCACTTTCCATGGGTTCACTGTCAAGGAGGCCAATCTGACGTCTGCGGCAGTAAACTGAGAGTACTGGTGGAACCGAGGATCTTGGAATAGTTGACATCATTTTACTGCCTTTCTGTTCAAAGTGAGCGTAGAGTGCATTGAGCTCATTGGGAAGGGATGCACTGTTGCCCTAGATTCTGTTCGACTTCGAGATAGTAAGAACTGCCAATGCTGGGGTCTGAGATGACACAGTGTGGAGCTGGAGGAGCACAGCAAGCCAGGCAGCATCAGAGGAGCAGGAAAGCTGACGTTTCAGGTCAGGACCCTTCTTCAGAAATGGGGGAGGGGAAGGAGGCTCAAATAAATAGAGAGTGGGGGATCGGGCTGGGGAAGGTAGGTGGGATGGTGATTTGTGAGTGCAGGTAGGTAGTGGTGGGGATTGGTCAGTGAGGTGGGAGGAGTGGATAGGTGGGAGAGAAGATGGACAGGTCAAGGAGGCGGGGATAAGAGGTGCTGGGGAAGGTAGGTGGGATGGCGATAGGTGAGTGCAGGTAGGCAATGGTGGGGATTGGTCAGTGAGGTGGGTTGCACAGATTGGCGGGAGAGAAGACAGACAGGTCAAGGAGGCAGGGATGAGAGGGAGGGTTGGTCATGGGATGAGGTTGGGGGTGGGGAGAGTTTGAAGCTAGTAAAGTCCACATTGAGACCATTGGGTTGTAGGCTCCCAAGGCGGAATATGAGGTCCTGCTCCTCCAGTTTCCAGGTGGCATCGTTGTGACAGTGGAGGAGGCTCAGGATGGACATGTCGTCCAGGGAGTGGGAAGGGGAGTTCAAGTGGTTCGTGACTGGAAGGTGTTGTCGTTTGTCGTGAACCGCGCGCAGGTGCCCTACAAAGCAGTCTCCGCTTGGTCTCACCGACGTAAAGGAGGCCACATCGGGAGCAATGAATACAATAGATTAGCGGATGTGCAGGTGAACATCTGTCTGATGTGGAAGGTTTTTTGGGGCCTGGGATGGAGGTGAGGGGGGAGGTGTAGCACCTCCTGCAGTTGCAGGGAAAGGTGCCAGGGGGGGGGGGGGCTAGTGGGGAGTATGGAGCTGACGAGGAAGTCGCAGAGAGCACGGTCCCTACGGAAGGCAGGTAAAGGTGAGGGAAAGGGAGGGAAATATATCCTTCGTAGTGGGGTCACATTGCAGGGGCGGAAGTGGCAGAGAATGATGCATTGAATCCAGAGGTTAGTGGGATGATATGTGAGCACAAGGGGGATTCTGTCTTTATTTTCTTTGCGGGGATGGGGTGTGAGGGCTGACGTGCAGGAAATGCAACAGATGCGGTCGAGGGCGTTTTCGACCACTGAAGGGGTGAAGTTGCGGTCCTTGAAATGCGAAGACATCCGGGATGTTCGGGAGTGGAACGCCTCATCTTGGGAGCAGATGCGGCGGAGGAATTGGGAGTAGGGGATCCAATTCTTGCAGGAAGGTGGGTGAGAGGAGGTGTAGTCTAGGTAACTGTGGGAGTCAGTGGGCTTGAAATAGATATCAGTTTCGAGGTGGTCACCAGAGATGGAGACAGACGGGCCCAAGAAGGAGAGAGAGGTATCAGAGATGGTCCAGGTGAACTTGACGTTGCGGTGAAAGGCGTTAGTAATGTAGATGAACTGTTCAAGCTCTTCGTGGGAGCACAAGGCAGCGCCGATACAGTCATCAATGTAACGGAGGACGAGGTGGGGGATAGGGCCAGTGCGGCTGCGGAAGAGGGATTGTTCCATGTATCCTACGAAGTGGCAGGCATAGCTTGGGCCCATGCGGGTTCCCATGGCCATCGCGTTAGTCTGTAGGAATGGGAGGAGTTGAAGGAGAAGTTGTTAAGGTTAAGTACAAGTTCAGTTAAATGGATCAGGTTGTCAGTGGAGGGGAATTGGTTGGGCCTGCAGGAGAGGAAGAAGCGGAGGGCTTTTAGGCCATCTGCATGGGGAAGGCAAGTATACAGGGATTGGATGTCCATAGTGAAGATGAGGTGCTGGGGGCCAGAGAATTGGAAGTCTTGGAGGAGGTGGAGGGCATGGGTGATGTCCTGGAGTAGGTGGGGAGTTCCTGGACCAGGGGGGAGAAAATAGAGTCTAGGTAAGCAAAGATACGTTCAGCGGGACAGGAGCAGGCAGAGACGATAGGTTGGCCAGGGCAGTCAGGTTTGTGGATTTTGGGAAGGAGATAGAAACGGGCGGTGCGGGCTTGGGGAATGATGAGTTTGGAGGCTGTAGGTGGGAGGTCACCTGAAGTGATGAGGTTGTGGATGGTCTGGGATATGATGTTTTGGTGGTCGGGGGTGGGGTCATGATCAAGGGGGCAGTAGGAGGAGGTGTCAGTAGGAGGTGGCCTCAGCTATGTAAAGTTCAGTGCACTATACCACAACTGTGCCTCCCTTATCCGCGGGTTTGATGGTGAGGTTAAGGTTGGAGCGGAGAGCCCTCATCCCTCTCACTCACTCCAACCTCTCCCCCATAGAACGTGCAGCCCTCCGCCTTCCATAGGGACCGCTCTCTCTGTGACTCCCTCGTGTGCTCCATACTCCCCACAAGCCCCACCACCCCCGGCACCTTTCCCTGCAACTGCAGGAGGTGCTACACTTACACCTTCCCCCTCACCTCCATCCCAGGCCCCAAAAAACCTTCCACATCAGACAGATGTTCACCTACACATCTGCTAATGTGATCTATTGTATCCACTGTTCCCGATGTGGCCTCCTCTACATCGGTGACACCAAGCGAAGAATCAGAGACCGCTTTGTAGAACACCTACGCTCCATTCACGACAAACGACAGCACCTTCCAGTCACGAACCACTTGAACTCCCCCTCCCACTCCCTGGATGACATGTCCATCCTGAGCCT